CCCCGCCCCGCGGGGGCAGCAGCGCCCCCTGCCGGCCGTGCCCGGAACTGCGGCGAGGGGCGAGCGCCTGCGGCCCGGAGGGGCCACTGCGGCCTGCTCTGTCTGGTGTGAGCGCCAGAGCTGCTGCTGGTTGTTTGTCCTAAAGATAATATAAAGAACTGTTATTCCTATCCCCAAATCTTTGCCTGATTTAAGCAAATCAATTAAGGATTGAGCTCCTTAATTTCAAAGTTATAACTCTGAGGAAATGGGTTCATATTTCCTTTCCAGGGGAGGCTCCTGCTTAGCAGACGCCTGTCTTTCAAATCCACGACAAGAGGAAATGCTTTGTCACGATCTAGGAAACTAAAGTAAGAAATCTTCATTCTTTGCAAATGTTTAACTATAATTTGGACCTAAATTATCGTCTGGGTCAAGTTACTTTGCACAGAAGTTCTCTAGCTCCACATGGCTAATGCTTTTCAAATACAGCTGCTTTTGAATCTCAATTGACTATGACTGGATATGTTCCTGTTCCAAGTTAAAATTTTCTAATGCTTCATTTTTACTCAGAGAAGGAAATAGAAAAGAGTTACAGCAATAAAAATAATTAATGGAAAATTTCAAATATCTGTAACCTAGAAAAGATGAAGCCATTTTGAAATTAGGCAAGTATGAGACCTGACAAGATAATGGGGATAGATGATTCTCACCACCTACACAACAGGAGACGAGGATGGAGAGGCTGGTAACAGAAATACTGAAATATATTTTGCAGCATGTTTGCTTTCCTTCTATGTTTGTAAAATTATCACAGAAATAGCAGAATACTTAACAGATAGGTAAGCAAGATTGAAGGATAACAATCATAAGAAAAAGTAATTGGGTTCAGGCTGCCCTTTATGGATCAGAAGGGCATATAGGCAACTTGATTAGGATTTTGGTTTTTTAGCATGTATTTATTTGTTGCATATATCCTGGCTTCTCAGATTACGTTGAAAGGCTGTAAAGAAGAAGCAAACAATAAAATACAAATTTGGAGTTCTTTGGAAGATATTTGTTGGGGGGATGCTGTGCAAAGACTCACAGTCTTAGCCATTCAGGAAGAAAGTTACACTTTGGAAGAAGTGTTAATTGGCTTTTACTATAACTCACCTGAGATCATTCTTTCCTATATTTCCTTGCCTGCAATCTACAAAGCCTCCTTCCTGTATCTAGTATACTAATTTCTGTTAAGGATTGGGAGTGTTGGGTTTTTATTCATTTACTACATAAGGGGTGGTAAATCTGTTATCCAGGTTTTTCAGGTTCCTCTGTCAATATTGCCAACGAAACTGCTCACACACTCTAACTCAGGCCTGAGTGGGTTACTGGGGGAAGTCTCTCTACTCTTTCCTAAATTATTCAAGAACATCTTAGTTTTTTCTCTGGCAGCTGCTTAGAGGGTGTCCCCTTCATTCTCCTGGCCTGCAGCATTAGTGAGTACAAGGGCAGAAGGAAGTTTAAATTATCATTTTTTATAAATTTTGGTGAAAGAGCACTAAACCCTGATT